AATAAAAAAAATGAGGGTTCAACAATATGGTTTTATAGTTTAATTAAAGTGTTTTAGTACTAATTAAAGTAGTTGTGTACAAATATATGTCATGTATTGTAGCATCGATCATGAACAAAATTATATTCTATGTATTATGACTAAAGTTATAAATATGTATACGCAAATACGAAACTAAGTGGCACTAACTTCTTCTAATGTTAGACCCAAATTTGTTTTATTCGTTATCTCTGTTTTGTAATCTCAAATAATACATGTGATAGAAAGCTTTTCTGAATGTGAAAATCCTTCAAACTTCTCTCTATATCAAAAGAGTAACCAACCAAATATAAATGATAATACTTTAGTTATTTTTTTTATTTACATTCCACTTGAGAAATCATGTTTTATGAATATTTTATTACGTGTTTGTTTTCACTTTTCACTTTTTGTTTCAATAATATTACTTGTTATAATTACTAGGGCACAAGGCAATGCGCTCTATATAAGCAGGAAGTGATTGGTGTATTTAAAATGACTTAAACATACATTATTGCTAAAGGGAGGCTAACCAAGCAGCGGATTTTACGGCCACATGTTTACTTAGGATGACACACAACGAACCCAATTTCTTTGTAAGCTAATATATACATATATAATAAGATAAACAAATCATTAAGTAGAAATGAGTTTAAATGTGGATCAAAGCTGATACAAATAATTTATATAGTTACCTCTAATGATATTTTTGAATTAAACATATATGAAAGAAATTATATAAAATTTAAAAATCATTTTCATATCTTAACTCAATATATTTTTATTTTTACCTTTGACCATAAATGAAAGAGTCATTCTGTCCCATGCCATGAAATAAGAACTTTAGGTCAGAGGGCTAATAATAGAAATAGTGTTACCGCTAAAAGTTTCCTATATGAATAGATTTTTGAGACGATGAATTACTTATTTAAATATTCATAATATTGAGGATAGAAGAATTACTTGAAGTGGCTGATTTATCATGATGTTGAGAGAAAATAACATATACTTAATAAATAACATATTTCAATTATGAAGTAAGTTAGTGTTGATCGAATAATTACTTTACTAGGATGAAATTCGTAAAAACATCAGATTTTAAAAAAAAATTGTTGAAAAAATTATTTTTCCCTATGTTACTTATAATTAGAATTCAATTTCATTTACAATTTTTCCAGTTATAAATTATAATTTTATAAGAAAAGTACTATATTGACCTCGAAATAACATGATAGTATTAAAATTAAAATGTTGTAAATGGACAATGTACCAAACTTAAACGCTAAGTAAAAAAATAATCACTAGCGAAGAATCAATGCTATACCATGTATAACATTAATTTTTTTTTATATTATTCCTTAACCAACATTTTTTTTATTTAATATTATTATTATTATAAAAATATATTAAAATAATTTTCATATTCAAATGTTCTTACCACTTTGACTGTAATCATTAACAACTTATGATCCATAATTAGTTGCTTCTAGAAAACAATTTTAACAAAATATGTATTTTTTCAATTACAGCAATACATCTTATGATGCATGTAATCATGCTTCTACAAAACAATTTTGATAATATATATATATATATATATTTTAGTGAAATTACATTAATTATATATATTTTAGTGAAATTACATTAATTATAAAAATACAAAATTTGGTAAATGAGTCAACTTTTTTAATAATTAGTAGATTTAATAACCATAATTTATAATTATTAGATTTAATAACCATAATTTAGATTGCAAATGAAAGCTATAAATAGAACTCTTGCATTATTGATTTTTTCCATTCTATCACTCAACCTTTCACTAAAATTATTAATATTCTTTGATTGGGATGTAACTCAATTCAATAACGTAATAATTTGTAATTAATTGCTTTGAAATTAGTTTCAACAAACTATAAATTTTAATAAATGTATATATCCAATTAAAACTAATGGCTGAAAGCTATAAATAAGACTCCTGCATTACCGAGTTTTCTCATCCCTCAACACCAAAACTTGCTTAGCTTCTTTTTCTTTTTTCAAATTAATTTAAGAAGTTATGACTTCAACAAGAGGATCTAGCAATCGTGCTTCAATTATGAAAAGGTCCGCTAATGATAAAAACAAGGTGAGTTTTTCTGATTTGATTATCTAATATATAATGTTACATAAGATTTATCTATGTAAAGATTAATGTTCTCTTTGTTTTTAAAATATTTATGTGCAAAACCAAAAAAAGAAAGCACAAGTAAAGGATGGGATAGCTAAGCGGTCACATGATGGATCATCAATTAAAGGACTCATTCCAACTAAGTGGCCAACTAGAATAACAAATACTGCAACACATCAACTCTTGATTGGGAATAGGATGCAATCCTATTACTCTAGTAAGTATGAAAGAAAATTTGAAATCATAACACCTTTTTAATTTTTGAATTCAAAATTCTTGTTTTATAACTGATGAGCTTTTAAAATATAAATACAGTAATTCCCCCAATACAACGGACCATTGATTTACCGATACATGGATCTCAAGCAGTAAAGGAGGTTTTGAAGGAAAAAACAAAAAAAGAGGTTGTTGATGCGAAACAACAAAAGGAAGCAGAGCTACAAGAGAACATTCGAATCCTGTCTGAACGATTGCACTGTGTGTTTGGTGATACACCACACACATACACTGCATGTAATTTTACACAGAGACTAGAGGAGGGTGTTGGGGATAATTTTACGCATGAACAAGTAGGAGACAATGTGGTTCCTCTGGTGAAATATCATGGTCCGGATGATATAGATTTTTATTCTTAATCAAAATTTGAACTATGTAATTTAGTGGGAAAAAAAAACTATGTATTGATGTTGTTTGAACAATCGACAATTGAGTGTTTTTATGGATATTTTGTCGTATTTTACTACATAGTTTATATATCCTCTTGTTTCTGACCTATTTTTATTTTTAGTTTGTTTAATAAATGTCCTTTTTTTAAAATATCATTTAAACTTTAACTTTTCATTTATAACTATAAAATTTTAAAATATTTTGATACATTTTACATAACTTTAATATTTTAGGATCCACAAAATTGAAAAAGTCTACTTTATTTTTCAAAATACCGTGCCAAATTAAATTTGATCATTTTTAAAAAAATAAAGGAGTAATTACCGATGCCCACTATGAAGGAAGTGATAAAATGACCTCATGACTATCGTTATAACTATAAATATAAATTTGAGTGTTACGGAAACTAATTAATCACTTTTATTAATATTGATGTAAGTTTATATAAATCAATTATTTTTGGTTTGTAATCTCAAATACATGTGAGGAAAGCTTTTGAAGGTGAATCCTTCAAATTTTCTTTATATGAATTGTTGTTTAATGTTACTCTTTCTAGATCACTTCAATTGTCATACTTTTTTTTTACCTCTTTTGAGAAAATAAATGTTTTGACTATCATATTTTTATTTTATATTTTTAATCATTAGAATATTAATCGCTCTTTTTACATTTCCTTAATTTCATATTAATTGAATTTGTATAGTCGTGCACATATAGAAAGAAAAACATACAATGACATAATTTAAATCAAAATTCATTATTATCCTTTGTAAAAATATAAATATCACTTTGTAAGTAGCATAATTTATCTCCTAAATAAATAAAAGGACAAATATGAAAAAGTTTCAAACAACCATCTTGAACTTTGAACAATTTAATTATGTGAAATAATGAAAAAAACCAAACGGTTATGGATTCCTTTTAAAGGATATTGGGTGGGTATATGGTTATGGGACGGATAGTGGAATTATGGGTTAAAAAAGGGATCAAACGGATAGTTCAATAGAATTTAAACACGTGTAAGAGTCCGTTAGTGAGAAGGGGTATATATATACCTATAATTGGAGAGCAGGGGCTTATATAGACGCAAAGTATAACAGAAGACATATACGTACCATTTATTAAAGTTCGAAGATAAATCCATCCCTTTTCCCTTTTTTAATTATCGCTAAAATATAATGACCCATGAAATCATTTTGGGTACCTATAGCTTCTTTATCTCATAAAAACTTCTCCTTTGACATATTTCAAATGAAAATTTTGAACTATTAGTTTAACTAAGATTATTTAAACATTGAGTATTTATTAAATAAGTAATTAATAGGTCATGGATAAATACCATAATTTATCTAATACACTTATCATGTTGCCCTAAATAATTAAAAAACAATTTGACAAGGGGACTTGCCTATAGACGAAGTCTGGATCAGGTATTCACAAGCTCCATTACTTTTAAATTGTCAAATAACCTTATGTGTAATAGTGATTGCTATATCTTGAATTTTGGTTAAAGAGTAATCAAAAAATACCAAACAATTGGATTATATTAATATTATTCTTATTATTATTTACGTCTTGGACATGGGAAAGCAGGAATATGGCGGCTAATGGAGGTCATAATTGATTAATGATTGACACTTTAATTATTACAAATCCTACATGTTATATAGACACTTCCTAATTATCTTTGTTCTATCACTTCTTTTTTATTTAATAGTACTTTATATAACACACACACTCATAATACTTTTTGCATGTTTTTTAAACTAACATGTAAACATGAAAGTTACATTTTTTAATTATCTCTGTCATTCACATTCTTTTTTATGTAGTGATTGCTTATGACAGACCTCAACCTATGATCTCGAATATTTCTTTGCTAGACTTTGGATCGCAGCACCTACAAGGGCGGACTAGAGGTAGGGGTTCATCCGACCCCATATTGATTTTAAACCTCATGAGATTTAGGTATTCAAAACTCAACTTGAGGCTTCAAGTTCAAATCTTAGAAACCACTTTTTTTGAACCCCTTTATTGGAAATCTTTAATCGGCCATTGATTACGTAAATCTAACTTATGTAAACCTTGATTCAAAGTTTTTATCTTGAAATACCTCTACTGTTACCTAATGGGTCAAAAATAAAGAGGGTCACAGGTGGAACATACAAATTTAATCATCTCAACAGTTAAATGATGTTACAGTCATTATCTTAGCATTTCTTTACATTCTAGCTAATATTACATTTGGTACGTACAATTCTTCATTAAATCTGTATACATGTATCGTGCTCCAGATCCAGATTATCTTTCAATGTGATGATCGCAAACCAGATATCTTCAGCGTGAAATTATTGCATAATATCAGCACACAGTTAATGAAATAAGATGACAACGTACAGCTAGCACTTTTTTTTTCTACTTACCTGCACTGCAGGGATAATTTCAAGCTTCGTCTGTCACGACCAATAAAATTGTGACTTTTCAAGTTCAAGTCTAAATCGAGCCCGCTTGAGTAGTAAAAGTATACTAAGCTTGAGTTCCAAAGCAACTGTTTCTTAGACACAACCTTGAAGAGCAGCAAACACCAGTGTAACCCCACAAGTGGGGTCTGGAGATAGAATGTACTCAGACCATACCCCAACCTTTGAGGTAGAGAGGTTGTTCCCGGGTTTCTGCTAGACTCAACCTTCTAAGATTGATCTGCAAATGGTTTGCATGTAATATAATATGACAGGGACAAGTATAAGAGAATGTTACAGCAAGAAGTGTGACAGATGTTAGCTTTTTGTGAATCAGATTTAGTTTCCTGCTTAAACCAAAACAATATAACTTCATGCTCAGAGTTAGGTTTAACTTTGATGAAATCTTGCAAAATTTAATGCAATGCAATCTCTGGTAAATGGCATTTTTTTCAAGTTCGATAGACTGGTTGTGTGATCAAAATATAAACAAAGATCGTAACTTACCTGGTAAATAATCTTGAAGCTTGAAAATAAATGTTGCAGATCCATCCCACGTTTTAAATTTGGTCAGTGTAGTTGTGTAGTAATTGGTAACCAATTTCATCAGGAATGACCTGCAAAAGCATGGTCAAAGCACTCAAGCACAAATTACCAGGCATGAGAGGCACATCGTGAACAATCTTAATATTGTTATTTCCTGCTGCCTTTCTTGTAGACTCACTCGTGGCAAAGAACTTCTTTTTCTCTAGGTAAAATCGAAAAGCAATGGCTTCTTCTACTCATCTTCTTCCCTGTAGCTTACCTGTTTCGCCTCTATTTCCAACATCAATCCATTTATGTGAGTTCCCATCCACCCTAGAGGGGAGCATTGCCCGTGTTATCAAATAATCTTGACATGTATCAAATCATTTCCATCATAATACATGTATCAAATCATTTATGTGAGTTCCCATCCATTCTCTTCACCACGAGAATACATGTATCAAATCATTTCCATCATAATAGAATTCAGAAGAACCTGAACCAAAACATCCCATGGATCATGTCCCCCTATACTGGCTATATCCTTTCTAGAAAAAGCATAAAAATTGAGATCAAACTTTGCAGGATTTGGGAACAAGCAGTCCTCTTTTTCCAAATAATTTATGGCAGGGACCAAGAGACTATGTTCCGTTCTTTCCAAAATTATACTTGAAAACAACTTCATGTTCAACAGAAGTTCCAATCCCATTTTCAGAGATGTAAGAATAACATCTTGAAAACTGGTCTCGAGCCAAGGATCTAATGGCAGAGGAGACGGTCTGGACAAAAAATGGCTGGTCAGAGCCATAATTTTTAGTCTGTAAAACGAAATCCATAAGATGATCATCTTCATCCAGACTCGAGCAAAGGATCTAATGGCAGAGGAGATGGTCTGGACAATAATGGCTGGTCAGAGCCATAATTTTTAGTCTGTACAACGAAATCCATAAGATGATCATCTTCATCAAGAATGTCTAATTGGTTAATTAAGCTTTTTCCTCCGAATCTCCAACAAAAATTCTGACCTCTGCGATGCCTTGCTCTGAATTTTGCACCGGGAGAAGTTCTCAAAATATATTTCCTTGCTTCTAGGAAACATTTAATTTAAGGCCTGGTTAACATCATTAGCTACTTCGAATTCAACACTATAATCATCTTCAAGGCGATTCTATGGACGGGTCTGGTGTTCACACATTAACTTGTTGGCTTTTTGAAGTGACATCACCTAAATGACTGATCATCCCATCCTGAACCTGACCAGCAGTCAGATTTATAACTGGAACTAGAGAAAGCACTGAATTTGTTGTTCAGAAAAGCATCTTCTGTAAGTAAAACATTAGATGAAAGGGGTTGTGAAGAGTTTCTGTATTTACCAGTTTACACAGACTGCGATGAGCAAGAGAGCCATCAATTGACCGACTTGAACTTCCGATCTGACTGAGGAATCTGAATTCGGGATCATGCTTTTCAGAGCACTTTTCCACAAAGAATATCCTGAGAAGATCGAATCTCTATCCTAACAGTGCACTCTCCAGTCAGCTTCTTGGCTGAGGGGTAGGAAGTACAAGTGTCGATTTGCAACTCTAGGCCCTGCACCTCTTTTTCCTAATCTCATAATTCAACAACTGAATTCCTACCCACATTTCCAAAAGTAGCCTAAGAGAAAAGAAAGAGATAAAACTACACAATGGCATAACACCACTAACCAACCTTCCACAATTTGTTCTCCCCCACCCCCCAAACCTTACCCACCCACTACAAGAAACTAATAAAAAAAAATGGCAGCACACTACAAATGATAATACTAGGTTTAGTTAATACTTCGTTGATGGCTCGCATACATGAAGCTTAGTACTACTTAAAGAATGCTTTCCAAAATTTCTACTGGCAGAGTAGTATGAAAGTTGCAAGTGACAGAGCATAAAGAACGCTACCAACTTCATATAATGTACAAAACTAGGTAACAACTAAATGCTGGTAAGAAGCATAAGTACCTATTTAGTACTACCGACAAAATTGCTCAAGTAGTATCGTGTTAGGGCATTCCAGCTGTCAGCGAAACCCCCCTGGGATGTTCTGTGACCACATCTACATATCAAACAACAATGTAGATATTATAGTGACATTGATCGACGAAAGAAAAAGCTTGAGGTCATAATATCAATTTGTAGAGTACAACATTTTTAGTTGTATGTTATATCCATCATAATCTTGAGATAGATTATGAATGGAGTTGTGCAGCAAGCATTTAAAGATCCAGTCCCAAATTCTTACTCTTGATATGTGAATGTAGTAGAGATAGATTATCATGGAATTATGCAGTTAGCATTTAAAGATCCAATCCCAGATTCTTACTCTTGATATGAATGTAGTAGGCCAAAAACTAGTACCACTGTCAATGATGGTTATATAATGTTCGTTAATTTAGGAACTGTCAGGGTTTTGAATCCTACTACGTATATATTTATATTATTGCACTCTTCGAAAATATGCTTTGCACTAATGCAGCCTTCATTTAATCTTCTTTTAGCAGAACAAGAAAGTTGTTGCCTGACAAAATCTCCCTTTAAAGCTGGAGTACCAGAATACGGGATGCGTATATCATCTCCATGGTTAGCCCACACTGCAAATAGTTTTTAAGGTACAAGAATAAACAGGTCAAGGTAAAGAAGCTTAATATTTATCCATCATAGAAGCTTTAACACAGATATTAAGAAAAATCTCACAGAGTTAGAAGCTTTTGTCAAGGTTGGGGTTTGAGATAATAGTTTCTTCAGCATCGAAAGCACCATGCCTTCAGGTGTAACAACAATTAGATACTATAGAAACAGATGTAGTAGAGGAAGCGTATCTGTTCCTCCTTGCTTTACAAACAACCAAAAGAGAAATAATTACTTTATGATGGATGCAAATTTAGAGTCTCTAAACAATACCATGCAACTAATTGTTAATTTGGCTTATCTCTTTCTCATTTTCTCTTTCTCATAATATTCTGACTCGGTCTGCTATATGTTTAGCTTTTCAGTTTCTTCCCAATTTTAAAAAAAGCAAGAGAAAGAGCTCTCTCCTCACTGCTAGTGCTGCTGACTCTGCATGCATACAGGTGTTTTGGCATTAACCTTTTGCTATAGAGATGTATAACATGAAATGATAATTCTGTTTCACTTATTTGTATCTAATAGTTTCTTCTATGACATAGTAACATAAAAGTCGTGACAGTGACTTCAATTGCACAAATGCTGCATTAGACTGGATTGCTTGACTAGTTCTTGGTAAGGCAGGTTTAACTAGTTTGACCTCAAGAATAAAGAGTAACAAGAACAGTTCAAAATTCTTTACAGTTAATCCACCAAACCCTCCTTGATTTACAGACCAAACCTGGCCCTATGGCTTTGTGCTAGAATGGGTGCACGCACATCCCAGCTCCACAATCATCCTCTCCAGGAAGATGAGATTCAGAATTAAAAGAATATTTTTTTGTAATCCCACATTATTTACGACTAGCAAGGGGTTGAGGAAACTGAAATTCTATACAAGATAGTAAATACGTGTGTGTGTTTATAAATATATCTACACTTGGATGAGATATACCTATTTTTTAATGAAAAGATCTTCAATTTGATCATAGAAGATAGAAAGGAGTTCAAAAAGAACATGGCCGCATATGTGCTTAATATTGAAGTGCAAGTATCTGCAGAAATCCTAAGATATTAGAATGAAGTGTGGTACTTAAAAAGATCCATATGATTTACCACAAGAAGATAACTGGAAACCTACTTCACATTAGCAGCAATTACATGTTGCATTGCATTTGCAAACTTTTCACTTAGGCGTCCTCCTCCTCGTCCTCCTCCTCCATGCTGATAAGAGTTTTGGATAAAAAAGTCAAGGATAATAAATAAAATTGTCTAGATATATTGATGCAAATATACACAAAATGTCTTCCATACATTTCATATTAAAAAAATCAAAGACGAGATGCCTCCAAGTTATCATTACACGTGCACAAAAGAAAGAGAATCAAGCCATGTTTTCTAATAGATAAACTAGTCTGACCAAGAATTAATTGAAATATTTTACCTTATTGACAAGATCAATGGATAGAATATTTCCGTACTTTTTTCTCAGATTCCAGTAATGTCGCTCAACAACTCAAGGCTGGAGAATGTTACTCAACAGAGTCATCAAGAGTGGAGGGCCATTAAGTGTGTCATAGAATCAAGAAACTAAAAGAAGAAAAGAGTGCTACTCAACTGCTTCTACAATTCTCACCATCTCAAACTTGTACTTATATGTCAAATCAACAATCTGATTCCATAGTAATGGAATTGACCCTCTGACCAACAAAAACACAAAACTTTTAATGAAATAACAGAATATCTCAACAAAAAGTGAAAAAATGAACAAGTGCGCTTAAATCAATCACATAAACTACGAAGCATTCTAATATGTGATGTTTCAGCAAAGCAAGCATTTCATTTAAGATTGTGAATTTCCCAACCTTCCCTTCCTCTGCTAGCCAAAAGATTCATTTTTCCATATTGTTGTCCTATATGGTGGTAGGATGGGGGACTTGATCTCGTTATACGGCCTTGGGGAAATTCTCACCTCCGAGCTATATTTTGGGTTGAGTTAGGCCCAAAGGTCTATTTTCTTATCATGGTATTAATGCGAGATATTTTCTACTGCTTCATAGTCCAAGTGCTACTCCCTTCGTGGATACAATCTTTTCCTTTTTGACAGAGGGAGTTATATACCTGAGGGAAGTAACTAATGAAAGTTCTAGCAAATGAAATATGTGCTAATCAGGCAGAAAATTCAGTTTTATTGCCCTCTGCTGTACCAAAATGTGCATTGCATCTGAGAGGTCCTGTACTGAGAATTGAACAGAGTTCTTTTATCAGTAAGTTCACGATAAAACTCGGATAAATCAAACAAAAAATGCAATACATTAGAAGTTTCTATATAGAATGGTCCAAACACCAAAACCTGTTTTTGTTCCGATAACATCATGTTCTCCACCCTAGTACTATCGACTCCTGCTTCTTCTTTTTTTTTTATCAACCCCTCTTCTATCATTAAAAGAGAGGGAACACACACACCACTTGCACACAGAGAAAGTAATACAAGTTACAAGAGTTATTAGTTTAAGCATTTTATCACAACAATATCTATTCAACAATAAACTCTAATGTGACAGAATTTTAAGTATCCCCCTCAGTTATCTACATATGTATAAAAGAGCATTTCATGAGCAACGAGATTGTTGGTGTAGAAAAAAGTCATAATCAAACTTCAAACAAGTGTACCTGAACAATGATATTGTATACCCTTTCAACTGGATAATTTGCTCGCTTTCCACAAAATTTGCAACAAATCCATCAGAATCAGCCCCTCTTTTCCCATTCGAGTGGCTACATTAACAAGCCAATTGCTATAACCAAGAGAATAGGTTAAGACTAACTATATAAAATAAACTGAAGACCTGAATAACATGAAGCAACTTGGAACATGGATTCTAATTATTTTGCATTAAGTTCAATATAAGTTGATGAGAATTGATGACCATACGTAAAACACATAACAATATTTCTGACCTAGTTCATCACTTGCATTTACCATGCTTGGCCAAATTGTAAAATAAATTAAAGCAATATCTGAATAACATGAGTTATTAGTCAACCAACAAAGTTCTTGATTTGTTTTCTCAAAACGCTAATGGCTGAGTTCCAAGAATTCCCTTCGAGATGACCGGGAAAATTTGTTCTCGAATTTTACATGTAACAATAACATGTAACTTCAAAAAGCAAGTTCTTGAATTTTATTTTTTAAAAAAAAAAGAACATGAAAATCTAACAATAGAGAGTTCTCAAACTTTCCTTCTTTCTTTTTTAATGGGAAGAGCAGTAATACAACTAGAGCAGATAGAATCAACAACCAGTAGCAGTTAAATTTTCTTAAATCAAAGAGATAATCAAGTTTTTTGAATTTTCCTTCGAAAAAATACCAAGCTACTTGGGCAGATTGATCGGCGGCGAAAATTGATTTAAGGTTTGTGGGTTTTGGTCGGACATACTGGCCGGGAGAGTTAGTGGCAGCGATCCGGCGGAGTAGCGTACAAAGGCGGTGAGCGCTTTTGCTTCTGTAATTTTTACGGTGGTGGCTTCTAACACACGCAGGGTCTCTTTTATAGTTTTTGAACGGTAGTAGCTTCTAACTTACGCAGTATCTCTTTTTCATAGTTTCTAAATTTGTATATACGCGGGTGAAAAAAGAAACTATTTAATTCACACGGAAAAATACAAAACTAAAAAAATTCTCCACATTAAATATTTATAATATTACAGTTTTTGCATGTTATCTTTTTTTTTTTTAGTAACGAAATTAGACGCTTTATAATTATCCTTATGAATCTTTTTTTTAAATTTAGTGAAGGCTTATAAGTTTATAATAAGAAATCTTAGTCCATGATTTAGATTATTTTTTGTATTGATTTTATATATTTTAACACAATTTATCTGAACCTCTTAGCAAAAAATTACATTTTATATAAGGTATTTTAGAAAATTTTTATGTTTATATAAAGATTTTAACCTTCCGAATGTAAGATTAATGATTCAAAACTCATTTTGATGTTTCAAGTTCAAATTTTAAATACTATTTTTTTTGTCCGAACCCTCTTTGATAAAACATGTCTAATATAAATTATATAAACCTTTGATTCAATTTTTTCTAAGGGAAATAAGACCATTAGACCATGTCTGCTTTTCACTATGCTATGCTAAGCTAATACTAGATTCTCAAAGTACGTAGCTTTCTATTTTACTTTATTCCTCTATTCATCTCCATTTCTCATTAATTTTTGTATATGCTTACCTTACGATAAGAGTTTAATGAGCATGTTGCACAAGTATAACCTCCTTCAGAGTACGTAGAGAAAAGACAGTAACTATAGTTGAAGAGTGCCTCTCTTTTCCAATTAAGGGTGTTTTAGGTATGGAGGAAAATGTTTTTTGATGAAAAATGTTTTTACTAGAAAATGTTTTTTCTGGAAAATAAGTAGATTTTGAACTTATTTTCTCGTGTTTGGTTGGTGAGTAGAAAGTATTTCCGAAAATGATTTTTAGTGTTTGATTTATGAATGAAAAATGTTTTTAAGAAACATCTTTTATTTTTACTAGAGAAAAAATAATTTATGAAATTGAAAATACTTTTTAAAAATAAAATTACTATTTTATGGAGTGGTGGAGGGGGTGGGGTGGGGGTAGTCGGAGGGGAGAGGCGGTAGGAGTGAAAAAATAAAAATTTGAAGTTGATAGTATTTTTAATTAACAAAATTAATCTTTTTTGGAGATTAGGGGTGTGGTGGGGGGGAGGGGGCTGACCGCAGGTGGATAGGAGTTTAAAAATAAAAATTTGAAGTTAAAAATATTTTTAAAAAGCAAAATTAATTTTTTAGAGAGGGAGGGGGGCTGGCCGGTGGTGGGTGGGTGGGTGGGTCAAGAATCGGGTGAATAAATAAAATTTTTAAATTGAAAATATTTTTTTAAAATTGATTTTTTTTCCAAAAAAAAATTAATTTGAAATTGCAGGAGAGTTTTGGAAAATGCGTTCCTTAATTTTTGAAGGGAAGTTATTTTCCTTAATTTTGAGGAAAATGAGTTGATTTGAAAAACATTTTCCAAAACTTTTGTCCCAACTAAATATGGAAAAATTGAAAAATATTTTTCAAAAAATATTTTCATTCGTACTAAACACACTCTAAGAACTGTTGCTGGTATTTTGTGCATCTGTTCCCAATTCATCCATTTTGTTCATGCATCACTCCATATGCATACATCTACTGAAATTTGCATGTATGGATATATATAAATCTCGGTCATCTCATTCGTGTACATGATTGTGAAAATATATGTATTAAGTGTAAATTAAGTAACAAACTTCGTAATAGTGATAAAATACGTAATATTTTAAAAATATAAATAATGATAATATATATGATAATAAAA